AATTTTATTGGTCACAAGACTGCGAAGATTGTTTTAACTTGATAAAAGATTATTTATGTTCTCAACCAATTTTAGCCATTTACGATCAAAACAAAAATACTTATATTGAAACTGACGCCAGTTATAAAGGAATAGGAGCTACTTTAAAACAACAACATTCTGATGGTATGTTACATCCTGTTGCTTACTTTTCAAGAAAGTTATCAGAAAAAGAAAAGAAAATGGACATTATCCATCTTGAATGTAAAGCTATCAAAGACGCAATAAAGTACTGGCAATATTACCTGATTGGTCGGGAATTTATTGTGTGTAGTGACCATAAACCTTTAGAGAATTTAAAAACAAAAAGTAGAACAGATGAAATATTGGGTGATTTGATACACTATTTGTCTCAATTTAATTTCAAAATTATTTATAAAAAAGGAAAAGAAAACTTGATGGCTGATTTACTTTCTCGATCACCAGTATTAGAATATTTTGAAAATGATGATGCAGTTCAAGTTGTCAATCTAATTGAGAGACCTGAAATTGTTCAGGATCAAAACGATAACAGAGCTGTATTAAGCACTGCCAAGAAAACTGAAAAACGCCATGGTATTATCTACAAAAAATTGAATGACAAAGCAAGGATATTTGTTTCTGAGAGATTTGGTTTAAAAATAATTAAAAAAGTACATGAATATTATGGACATATTGGAGCTGGAAAATTAAGAGAAAAGATACGACCATTTTATTATTTTAAAAAAATTCGATCAACTAATAGACGAATTTTGTAAAAGTTGTGTCATATGTTTAGAAAACAAAAGCAGAAGAAGCAGAATTATAGGATTAATGTCAAAATTAGGCCCTGCAACAGAACCATTTCAAATTATGTCCATTGATACAGTTGGTGGTTTTGTCGGTAACAGATCACCAAAGAAATACATGCATATTTTAGTGGACCATTTTAGTAGATATGCTTGGATCTCCACTACGAAAAATCAATGTGCAACAGATTTCATAAATTTAATTCACCCAATTGCTAAAAAAAATAATATCAAAATACTTTTAGCTGACCAGTACGCTGGAATTAATTCTTCAGAATTCAAAAAGTACCTCAACCAGATGAACATTCAAGTAATTTTTACATGCGTAGATTGTCCTCAATCAAATGGACTAAATGAAAGACTAAATCAAACACTGGTTAATAGAATAAGATGTAAAATAAACAGTGGAACAAAACAGGCATGGTCTACCATTGCAGATGAATGCGTCAAAGAATACTATCGTACAATCCATAGTTCTACAAAATTCGAACCAGAATACTTATTGTATGGCACAAGGTCAGCTATCATCCCAGATGACTTACCAGAAAGCGATATAATAGCAGATAGAATGCAAGCATGTAAGAATTCCCAGCAAAACTTTGAAATGAACAAAAAACGAATTGATAAAAATCGACAAGAATATGAATTTAAAGTGGGCGACCAAGTCTATATCCAGAATGGTAATAGACTCAACCGAAGTAAGATGGATAAAATAAGAGTTGGTCCGTTTAAAATTCTCAAGAAAGTTTCTTCATCGATTTTTGAAGTAGACTGTGGAAGAAAAAAAAAACAATCTAATCTTTTTCATATTAACAAATTGTCACTTTATATTCCTCAAAAAGTAACGTGAAGGGGGGAGATGTAAATGTAACCACATTTATGTATTTATTTCATATCTATGATATTCAATATCTTTGATATATGTTTGATCTTTGTTTGGGTTTCGATAAATGTGCTTCGATAAATGTGCTGCACCACGTGATTGACATATTTTATAATTTATTTGATTTATGAGTTTCGTATGAATAAGCCTGTAATTGATTACTGTTTTACAGGTATGTTTTCTTTAATTTATATCTCTGTATTATTTTATATTATTTGATTATATGACATTTAATTTGTTTGAATAAACTGTTTTACAGATTAATAAATCAGGTTTATTTAGAAACAATCTTACATATATATATATATGTGTGTGTGTGTGTGTGTGTGTGTGTGTGTGTGTCTGTGAGATGATTGTGGTGATTAAGATGATGATGATTATGTTGTAACATCCTTATCAAACTCAAAGATAATGCTCTTGCTATAAGAGGTGTTATTGAGACGAAGATTGTATGTATGTATCCATGTATGTTTGTATGTTTGTATTTTCAAATGTTTGTTTGTATATAAATTTGTATGTATGTTTATTTGTATGTATGTATGTGTGTTGTGTTAAACTAAAATTGTATGCATTGATAAAATGCCTTTAAAAAAATAATTGCGTTAAGGAAGGTGTCGTCTGTTGAATGTGATGTTGTATGCATTGTCGGATTGAAAACCCTAGCGATTAAAAAGACTAATAAATAAAACACCACGAAATAAGGAGTTGATTTGTGCGGGCTGTATAAGAAACTGCGATAACTATTCTGATAGGTATTCGGGCTGCTGATGAGTCCCCGGTAGGGACGAAACACGTGTCCAGCCTATCCAAACGAATACAATTCTTTTCTTTTCCCGCTCACTGCTCTTCTGGTTCGGTGTTCTCATCATCAAACGCAACCGCAACAGTATTAACTTTCTTTCTTTCTCTCTTTCTCTCTAATATTCTTTTTTTCTCTCTCTTTCTCTCTCTGAATATTTATTTTTTGCGTATGTAGTTTTGATGTTAAATAAATATGTACAAGTTTTTTGCCATGACGAAATAAAAACCGTTCATAAAACATTTCTTTTAACTCTAATAATTCAATTTTAACTCATCGTCTGCTGTTAAATTACATTATCGCTCATCGACAAGAAACAAAGAATAAATAATTTGATGACGCAAGAGATTACGCTGCTAGGGCGATGTCGAACACTCGGGGATTCAGACGCTTTCTATATAAGCGCGCGCCAATTTTCCAAACCAACAAACAATTTTACATTTAAGACATATAAATAATTAAATCAGAAATAACTTCTTAATTAATAATTATTAATTCATAATAAATAGAGATTTATAAAATTTAAAAAAATGTTCAAGACAGGTATTTTCCTCTACTACGCCGTACTATCAGTCATTTCGTTGTTCAACGTTCCAAGCAACGTAGCAGCTAACCCAGCTGCTGCTGACGTCACAGCAGCTACAGTAGCTGCCCCAGTCAGCTGCTGCCGTCTGAGAGCCCTTTCCGCTTCCGTCTGCTTCTACCAGCAGCGTGTAGCAGCTGTCGGTCCTGCTGCTAAGTCGATTTTTAGACGGCCAGCTTTCGATGAGTTCAATGGGCTGTGTGTCATACACAGTGATGGCGGTGATGATTCGAGGTCGGTTCGTTTGGGCAGTGATGATGATGATGATAATAATAATTATTATTATTATATTTATTATTATTACCAAATGCATTTATCCATAGGCTGGTGTCGCATCATAATTTGCCACGAAATAATTCACTGAAATTATTTCTCAAACGATTCCAGATCTTACGAATCTTCACAGAGTGACGAGAGCCGTGACGTCATAAGTAGGGATGTGCCGTGGAAAAGATTCGGCGGGAAATACTTTCCTAAATTTGTGAAAAAATCAGACGAGTACCACCTCCCCATGTACGTCGAAGCCTGGGGGAAATAAAAAATGGCGGGAGAATACAAAATGGTGGAAAAAACAAGATGGCGGAAACAATAGTTACTTTATTGAATATTACTAAATAAACTTTATAACAATTTAGTCATTTTGTTGTGTTTTTTATCGGCAGGTTTTCTCTGATTAGTTTTGAAAATAAAGATGTCAACTATTGCTTCAGTATAGTGAATGCATGAATGGATGGACGAGCTAACGAATGAATGAATGGATGGATGGATGGATGGATAAGTTAATGATAGAATGAATTAATATACAAACATAAAGGTGAATAAATGAATGATTAGTTGATTGGTTAACTGATTGGTTGACTGATCTGAAAATTAGAGGTAAAAATTTTTTCTTTCAAAAGACACGGACGTTGATATCAACGAGAATGCGAATGATTATGAACGTTAAAAATTGTTCAACAAGATAGGCTAAAAATTGAATATTGCCTTTCACTCGAAAATCCTTTCACGAAAAAGCTAATAAAATCTGCAGAATGTAATAACGTTGAAAATAAAAATAGGTCCACCAAATAAATAATTAATTAGTTACTCAATCAATTAACCAACTAACCAGCCATCTAACCAGCAAACCAATCAATTACTCAATTAACCAATCAACCAACCAATCAACAGGCAGCCAATCAAATCTTTGAAAATCACATAATTTTAATAACACCCCAAAAAGTGAACTCCGGGTGCGTGTGTATCGCCCTATCCCCATACATATCCCTGATGGATAACCTTTGACCTCTCCGTGCCCTCACAATCGTAAACACGGAACACTGCTTGTATACGCTGTGGGAATCGGGGTAATAATTTGGGATTTCTTTAAGTTGCTCCGTCTCCAGACATTTGGCCTTTACCTGTTTCAGTGAATGAAATGTATTTTGGCGCGAAAAGTGTAGCTAGTTTTTGGCGGGAAATGTGTTTAGTTTTGGCGGGAAAATATACTTGATTTTGGCGGGAAATTAATTTTGTGCGGCTTGTCAACGCTATTATTTTTTTGGATAGAAGTGCGAATGTTGAAGAACATCTTTAGTTGTTCAATTGTTATAATGAGAATAATATTATTCATAATTTATGATAATAGTATTTATAATTTAGTATAATAATATTCATAATTTACAATAATAATATTCATAATTTATAATTATAATATTCATAATTATAACCTTGTTTTCGAGCATGACGCCAATGGACCAACGCCACTTAACATCATGGAATAATATCTGAAAGATTTATGATAATAATAATAATCAAAATATTAATAATATTAATAATAATAATAATTACTACTATCATCACCCTCACCGACATCATCATCATCTTCTTCATCACCATCATCATCACCACCATTGGTGGAACCTGTGCATAGACGATGTACAGCCCGTTTTGCTTGAGCCACACGTGTCCAGTATCGCTACTACTACTACCGCCACCACCACCATCGTCATCGCCACCATGGTATTTGAAATAACTTTTTATCATCATCCTGTCGCGGCTACCAACCCCCTTCCCCAGTAGTATGTCCTTATCAATTCGCCAAAAGTTTAGATTCGTGAGCCCTTAAAAATTATTATCAGTATTATTTATAATAATAATAATTATTATATTATTATTATTATTATCGTCGTATTAGTAGTAGTAGTAGTAGTAGTAGTAGTAGTAGTAGTAGTAGTAGTAGTAGTAGTAGTAGTAGTAGTAGTAGTAGTGGTATTATTATTATTATTATTATTATTATTAGTAGTAGTAGTAGTAGTAGTAGTAGTAGTAGTAGTAGTGGTGGTGGTAGTAGTAGTAGCAGCAGTAGTAGTTGTAGTAGTAGTAGTAGTAGTAGCAGCAGTAGTAGTTGTAGTAGTAGTTGTTGTAATAGTAGTAGTAGTAGTAGTAGTAGTAGTAGTAGTAGCTGCAGTCATACATAGTATTATTGTTCGCAGTAATAATAATAGTAGTAGTAATAACTTGAAACTTCTGAAGTCTTATATTTGGTGGCGTTAAAATTCGGCTTGAGCTGAATGGCAGGCAAAATGGCGATCATTTTATTATTATT